CAGCGGCGGCACAGGTCAGAAGCTGTTGCTCAGCATAGAGGAAAAGTGACCCCTCCCCATCACCACCACTGGGCTGTTCCTGCTGCAGCCTCCCAGAGCACACACCATGCCACACTGCCCTGCATCTGCTCTTTACTGCCACTACTACCCCACTAGGCAGCTCGGAGGCAGCAGTGATGGCAGCGTATATGCTTCTCGACCTTATGAGGCACAGGTCAGAAGCTGTTGCTCAGCATAGAGGAAAAGTGACCCCTCCCCATCACCACCACTGGGCTGTTCCTGCTGCAGCCTCCCAGAGCACACACCATGCCACACTGCCCTGCATCTGCTCTTTACTGCCACTACTACCCCACTAGGCAGCTCGGAGGCAGCAGTGATGGCAGCGTATATGCTTCTCGACCTTATGAAGCATAAAAAACAAAGCATAATTTGTTTTTTTTCACTTCTAAGATGGCAAACCCCCTTCCCAAAAGCAGTACTTCTGGGGGCAAGGGGAGGGACTGGTGGCAAAGGTCAGGGGTTAGGAGGTAGGACTTCTGGTCCCAAGATGGCGACTAGGGGGCAGGGTACCTATCAAGGGGCGGGACTACCCTTCGAGCCCTTTACAGCTCACCAAAACTCATTAAGTGGCTCTCCACCTGAAAAATTGCCCACACCTGCTGTAGGAACTGCTCCCAGGCCAGATTCATAGCAGCAACAACAGTGGGGCCATGCTCAGGTGACAGCACAGGTCTGGGGCCAGGCAGCAGTGTGGAGGTCATATTCAGGCAGGTGTGCATATCTGGGGCAGATGGGGTGCAGGGTTGTCTTCAGGCAGCACCATGGTGCTCTGGCCAGGCAGCAGCACGTAGCTGGGGGTATGTAGTGACATGGGGCTCTAGCCAGGCAGCTGTGTGGAGCTGGGATGTGCGGTGGTGTGGGGCTTCGGCAGGGCAGCAGTGCTGAGCCAGGACTGTGAGGTACCATGGTGTTCTGGGAAGCAGCAGCGCAGAGCGGAGGGCATGCAGGGCTCTGAATGGGCAGCAGCACAGAGTATGAGGCATGCAGCATTCTGGCTAAGTGGCAGCACAGAGCAGGGGATGTGCAGTGGTGTGGGACTGCATCCATAGAGCATCACGAGTCTGGAAGCATGCAGTGGCAGGGGGCAGTGTTTAGATGGCAGCGTAGGGGATGCTGCAGATAGCCATGTTCATTGGGATCCAGGGATCCCAAATTCTGTGCTAGGCCATGTATTCCAACTTCCAGTAACCAACCTTTCCTTAATTGCTTTTGACTCTATCATGTCTTTTAACATATCAATTTACTCTGGTAAGCATGACTCTTCTAAAAGATATCAACAATAGTTACAACATTTCGAGTTAGAAATACTTTAAGAAAAAAGGAGGAGGTGACAGCAGCAGGCCCAGTTAAGTAAATGCCTCAATGGACACTCAGAACCTTAAGAAACAAAGTTTTGTGAAAATAAAGGAATTAGTCAATTGGCTTTGAAAACTTCCTCACAGGCCCCCAACCATCAAATGCAGTTAATAAATGTCAGAGAGAGGTTAATACAAATTACAATCTAAGAGAGGTTAATACAAGCCTGTTAACAATGCAACTAAAAAACCAACCGGCGTTCTTTTAAATGTGTGCTTCCAGATTAAAATAAGTAGAGCAAATCCTCTGTGAATAACCTGGTATCTTACCTATATTCTCTGGATTTGGGGAATATGCAGGAGAAATAAAATTATAGTACAATGGTGAAGGACATCAGAATTTAGCAAATCAGTGATGTACAAAAAATCTTTCTTTAAACACAATTATATTGACTGATTCACCTCTAAGAATAAGGCTATCTACAATATTAGAAGCAACGGTCCTCCCGGGTTATTAAAAGCATTGTGCAGATTAGTATCAGAGAGGAAAAATATAAGAAAATATGTAGAAGATCTAAAAGCACTTTTTCCAATCCCTTTAATAGTAACTTCTTAGGACATGTATTTTCCTAAACATTGCCTATGCCATAATAGTGTTACAACCCTTTAGGGCATTTAAAAATTACAATATTTAAGTGACTGCTTGATTTTCATGAAGAAAACAGGCAAAGTAAGATTTTCTCAAAACTTAAAATCATGACATTGGCAAAAGCAGATGCAACACAGAGAAGTAATTATGTATGCAATATAGCACACGTTGTTTTCTGAGTAAATGACTCAAGCTGCCCAACTCCACTGAAACTGCTCTTTGCTAGTTTTTATAATTCTCTTAAATATTTCCAGAATGAACTTTATTGAAAACATAGTAGGAGGCTGCTCACTGTATCTTTTTTTATTAGAGACAATTTTCTGTGTATTAGGTAAATCAAATTCTACTTAGCAAGCAGTCTCAAAAAAAATAGAGAAGTCATTAAGTATTGCAAATGTACATCATCTCCCTAGTAGTGCACATTACAAGTATTTTTATAGCAAGTCAGTAGTCAGTGTCTGGAAAAAGAATTTAAACTCTTACCTTTAGTTCTAACTGCCGGACCCAAACAATGTTATTGACAACTTCAGAGAGATTTTTGCCTGAAAGTGGCCCAGAAATGTCACCAGGAACACCATGGCATCGAGCTTCAAAGTCTGTGCAAAAATCTGTACAAATCCAACCATGGGTGTTCAACAAAACATAGAACAATTAGAAAATAATTAATTATAGCAGCAAGCAGTATATTCGTTTTACTGCATTAAGTAAAGAAGAGAGGAAATAAAACAGTTCCACCCCACCCACCAAAAAACAAATCACTATGAAAGTATTTTGATTAATGGTTACCTTTGATAGAGTCTTGAAGTCTTGCTAGCAATGTTTCCCTTTCAAAAAGTAATTCTTTGCTAATGCTTGGGCGTTTCACTAACTCCTTATACTTCTGAAATGCTTGAAGAAGCTAGAACAGAAAAATATAGAAAAGCAACTAATGTCTAATGAACAGGGTTCTGGGTTTTCCATTGCCTGCAGAAAAATGGAAAGAAGCGCAGATTTTCCCTTTTAATTGAGAAAAACAAAGATTTTTCATTTTACCAGAGAACTACATGAATTTTCCACTTTTGCAAAGAGCAATCTGCAGGTAGGCAGAGTTCCAGTCTGCAAGGGGCAAGGGGGAGCAGGCAGGCAGGAGGCACCATGTGCATGTGCATGCGCACACATGCACATAGCCACTAGGCATCTGAAGAAGAAATCCCACAGGTAAGTCTGGTGGTAGGGAAGGGTAGATTGAGGCCCCTATAGGGAGGGAGTGAGGAAGGGAGTTGGGCAGGGCTAGGGCTGGGGCTGTTGCCCAGCTGTATGGGGCTTGGGGCCCTAGAATGCACAGCCACAGGGCCCGAGTGGAGAGTGGAACAAGGCCACGGGCAGCTCATCTCGGGGGCGGGCGGGGAGGGTAATTTTGGCTCCCCACCACTGCATGCACTCCCAGGGGAGCACATACCCTCCAGATTTGTGTGCAGGGCAGGGGCGGACTGCCCACTATGGGCTCAGGCTCCCCATCCTGCTGCCCTCGCCCTGGTACCTCGACAGCTCAGTGGCCAGGGCCCAGCATGGCAAGGCACAGCTGGGAGAGGAAGCTTGTTGCTGCTGCTGCAAGCCCCACTCCGCCATGGCAAAGGCGCCCCCTGCCTGCCCAGCAACAGCAGAGGAGCAGCATGGAGTTCTGCCCCTCACTGCTGCTGGCTGGGCATGGGGCACCTCGCCATGGCAAGGTGGAGCTCCCAGTGGCAGCAACGAGCTTCCCTGCCTGGCCCCATTCTGGGGGGCTGTAGGTGGGAAGTGAAGGGCACCAGCAGGCCCATGGAACTGTGGATCGGGAGTAAGGAGCACCAGCAGGGCTGGGGGACTGTGGATTAGGAGTGACGGGCCTGGTGAGCACAGAGGACAGGTGGAGCTCTGATTTTCCATGATAAAAAAACCTAAAATCAAATACCAACATTTATAGATACTTAGAATATATTTTATTATAGTGATTGAGACACTGGTAAGGCTTCCAAATGCTTTAAAATTGTAAATATATCAATAAAATGTTGTGTTCAATTGATACATATACACGCACATGCGCGCGTGCCTGTGTACAGACACACACACACACACACACTGGCATTTCATTTTAATCTCTGATTTGGGGGGTTTTAATCAGAATTTGTGATTTTTAAACAGAGAAAACCAGGATCCTTGCCAATGTTACCCTGAGGTAACATTATTCATAAGGACTGTACATAATCATAAACAACACTTTCTTTGCCTGAAAATAACTATTTGAGAATTCTATAACTTCATACAAAACAAAACCTTGTATCATAAAAATAGTTATACCTGTTGTGGGCTGTCTTGAATATCTGAAATAAATGCTTTCAATTTGCTTGCTATTTTTTGTTCTGCTGGTGCAATAATTCTTTCATACTGAGACACGGCAGCTTTCCATAAAGGCTAGAGATAAACAGGCAAATGTGTTAGTATGGAATATATGAATACAATAAAAAGCTATAAAAATGCTTATAGAAAATAAAAGTATATATTATACCTCTGTGTAGGGGTTATAGTGTACAGGATTGAGACCAGCAAAGGGCTCAAAAACCTGGGCAAGGTGCAATAATGCTTTTTGTTCCCCAGTTGGTAAAAAATGTGTCAGTTTTTCATAAAGTGTTCGAATAGTTAGTACCTACAAACAGAAAGATGATATTTATTTATAGAATCACAGAATCATAGAAGAGTAGAGCTGGAAGGGACCTCAGGAAGGCATCTACTCCAACCCCCTTTCCTGACTAACTATCCCAGTGAAGTGTTTGTCTATTCTGCTCTTGAAAACCTCCAAAAATAGAGATTCCACAACATATCCAGGTAATGGGCTCCGATACTTAACCATTCACATAGTGAGAAAGTTTGTCCTAACAGCCAACCTAAGTTTCCCTTGCTGCGTTTTAAGACCACTGTGGCCACAGAGACTAGTCTCCATCTTCTTTATATCCACCCCTTAGGTATTAGAATACTGCTATCAAATCCCCCTTGGTCTTCTCTTCTCCTGACACAACCATCCTAGTTCTTTCAGCCTTTTCTCATAAGTCTTCTTTCCTAGGCCTCTAACAATTTTTGTCACTCTCCTTGGAATCTTCATAATTTTTCCATAACTTTCTTGAAGTTCAGTGCTCAAAACTTCAGACAGAATGCCACAGGTAGGGACCCACCAGTCAGTAGCATAACCAGCCTTGGACACAGCAGAATAGTGGCCTACCAAAGTCTGCACCCCAACAGCAGCTACAGCTCCACACCCTTTTGTGTGCTTTTGTGCACACAAAAGCACCCTGGGTAAACACTGCTGCAGAGCAGGTTGAGATGGGAGTCTTAACTATTCCAGGAATTCAAAAGAAGCCCCCACTGCTGCTTTTGTGGCAGCAGAAGCAGCAGCAACAACCAGGGCTTGGGCAAATCACACTATGGCAGCAGCAGTGGGGGCTTCTTTTGAATTCCTGGAATAGTTAAGACTCCCATCTCAACCTGCTCTGCAGCAGTGTTTACCCAGGGCACAAGCCCCGTTAGTTATGCCTCTGACACCAAAGCTGAATAGAGTGGGAAAAATCACTTTATTTATTTTTAGCTACCCAGCATGACTTGTTTCATCATTTACATTTAAAAACAGGAAACACAACAAAGGTCATAAACAGGACCTAAACTGCATTATGTCACCCCTTCACAGAAATAATTCCCTAGCAATGAATCAGTCTTAGTCAAGTAAATGCTGAACCCAAAAACATGAAACACACAATGCCCTGATTATAGAAGCGATGCAAAATGTTAAACAATATTCTTAATCTTATTTGCAGTTCAAAAAAAACTCTTTGATTTTTTTCTTTGATACCTCATCAAGACGTTTCTGGAGTTTATCTAATGCTTCTGGAGAAAACTTCTCATTTTTCCATGGATGTGGAGCATAATGTTGCCACAGTTGTCCAGTTAAATGGTGACAGGCTGCTACCCACTGTTCACAAATCATGATGCCAGTTTTCAGATTTTCTTTAACAACATTAAAAGCATCCTCCCACAGATGTACAGTTCCCAATTTTTTCTGAACAAACCTACCAAGAGAGCCACCTAGAAAAGAACAAAAATATACTTTGAACCAAACACATCATGCAAGTAGAAATACTTTCTTTACATTCCACACAGAATTGCATTTATATTTTTCAAAGTGTTGCAAAGATAATGTGCTACCAAATGATGCAAATCAAATAAATAAACAAGTATTCACTCAGGGCCTACTATAATTTTATCCAAATGAATTACAAATATACGGCCCTCAATGAATTCAGGTAACAGGCATAATAAAAAGTAAGATTTTTTTTTTCTGTAGACTATATTCATATGTACGTTCATAATTAATATGGTTATTTTTTATCCCAGCTTTACCTATGACATCCAAAAGGTTTTGCATTCGGGGCTGTGGATAAGGGTCATATTCTGTTTGTCTCCATACATCATCAACAGTATCCCGGGTAGTCTCCACTAAATCGACAGCTTCATATAGAGAGAGACTATCCAAGTTGTAATAATCCTAAAAATCCAAATGCATTTTTAAACAAAATAGTTGTGCTAATAATATATTAGAAATATTTAACTTCTAAATATTTCAAACACATTTGTTAATTGAGATAGCTTTATATTTAGGGAAATGCCAACACTTTATTGCCTAAAAAATAAACATACTCTGACTATTTGCATGATTAATCCACTGACTTCTATGGCACAATTCACGCACGTAAACTAATTCAAGTGTTTTGCAGGACAGAATCCACCCTCACCGCCTTGCTTGTCAATTTTAGTATTTTTCATCAGCTCATTGTCATTTTAGAGCCTTCCTGTAGTTCCTTTGTTAAAATCCATTTTTAAAGCAGATATTAGGATTCTAATGAGCCAAATTTACTCTGACATAAATTTGAGCAGCCCTTAGCCAGAGATACACAAGCACAAATTAAAGTAAAATTTGCCCATATATCAATATGGGCCAATATTATATTCATAAATATTCATATATGACACAAGTGCATCCTTTATTAGAGACAGATACATCATTAGATAAAGAAAAGAAAAAATATATACTTTTGCAATTGTTTCAAACAGGTCTCTAAAATGAGAAGCTCTCTCTTTGCTACACAGTTTACTTCCACGATGAGCACGCTCAATCCAGAACTGAAATTCATCACTTGGTGTAAGTATTGCTGCAAATACAAACAAGAAATACTTGATTCTATCATTCAGAAACACATGAATAGGATCAAAATAGTTTTAGTTAAAACAAACTTCTAAAAGGAAAATTCACTGTAGGGATACAAAATTCCATTCCCGTTTTGATTCTGATTTGATGTAATACAGCTTAATATTAAGTTTCCATGGGCTCAACTCTATCAAGCTTGCAGGCTCTAGACTATTCTGTTAGGTTCTTCAACCCTTTGAAAAGTAATGAACTCCTAAATCTAAAATGTATTCCATTTCTAATTCAAGTTTTATAATAAAAGAAAGAATTGTAGGACACACCTCTTACATCATCTTCACTGAATTTTGTTCCCTGATAACGAGGATCTGATCTTCTGAGAACAGTGCCCAAACCAGCCTCCAGCTCGCTAAGAAGTTTTTGGAGTTTGGGATCAAATTCCTTACTCCATTTCTCATCCTACAACAAAAATTTCAGGGAATGAACATAGCACGTTAGAAATATTTACCATTTTCCTATTATCAGTCCTTCATAGATAAGTTACCGATTAATACAAATTACATGTTTTATGGCACAATGGAATAGGAGCTGTAACTTATATGTAAGGAGGAAAGTCTGATTAACCGTAGAATGAACAAACAGGAACACCAGCTACAAATGCCAATAATTTTCACCAAAATTCAAACACTAATTGTATGCCATGACCATATTAATGAAAGAATGTGGCAAAAAACTGTTTTTTCATTAGTCCTTTTGCTTCTGCACTTGAAATAACTTATTAAAGTGAACAATGAAGGTTACTGCAAATTACAGCCTTCTGCAATAACTCCATGAATACTGTGGACAATCTACTGGTGATAAACAGCGCTATAAACACTGAAAGTCCTTTTGGTAATATTAGAGACATTAGCCATGATCTTCTTCTGTTTGTGAAAAGTGCAGTAAAGAAGGTATCTTCCATATCAAAAAGGAAAAAAAGGTACAATGATTTTAAAAGTTATTAATCCTCAGGTAAAGTTCTATATTTTTACATGCAAGACATTGCAATCCTGCCTAGTCCTTTTGCCAAATTCAACTGTCCTTAATTAAGCAAAACAACCATAATTTAGTCCTGCATGATCAGTTAGCACAGTGAGAATAATAGAATTAAAATCAGCCTCATCAGCCTTAAGGCAAAACAAAGTTGTGTAAATCAGTCTAGGAATCCAAAGCAGCAAGACTGCTAATGGTGTTTGTATACTCTTGGCACTGGCCCTGAGACAATATTTAATTCAAAATGTAAAAAAGAAGTGGGGGGCAGTGAGAGAAATGGCACAGCATGAAACAAAGCTGTAAAATGTCAGGGAAATTAAAGATATTGTTCACTCCTTAACCACTCTACAAGTATTTTCTTTTTAATACTAACAGAAAAGCAAATTAAAAGTACATCTCAGAACAATTAACATGTAATATGAAAACATGTTTTAGTGAAAACAGAATGCTAATTTTCTTCAAATGTATTAAAAAAAAAAAACACCTTAACAGCAAATTACTCACCTTTAGTAATACTGGTGCAAATACCTGCCGTACTGCTTGATAAAGGGTAGTAATAGGTGAATCTAACATAGATGATACAAAAATATTACTATGAAGATTATCTTCTGTAATGACTTCGGGCCGCAGCTTGAAAAACACCAACACTTTATCTTTTGAATCACCAGCTTCAACCTATAATAATTAATAAGCACACGGTTTAAAAAAAATGGAAACCCTCACATTCACCTCATATTACAGGTATATTTCCCACAACAGTAATGTTTATACGAATCATTAAAAGAAGGAATTAACTGAAAAATATTGTGCCATTTTGTATGGATTGTGATAAATATGCCATTCATATTACAGCTGTACATAACAACAAAACCCATGATTTTCACAGTTGATAAAATAAGAACTTGAAATGTAATTCCAGCATCCAATACTTTAAACAGTCATTACATTATAAGTAGTTATACTAGTTATTTCTGCTATGTGAGGCTTAAAAAATCTGTCACCTATTTTCTGGTAGCAAGCAAACAACTTATGATACATTTTAAAAATTAGGCAGACAGGTATGCTGATGATCACAGATTTCCCAACAACAGGATAAATAGGATTCTCATCAGCTTCACCAATGCTATACATTTTTACATTTTCTCGGAAGCTGTAAAAACACAAGATGGATCTCAGTTTTTGCAGTGCACCTTACTGGGAAAGCTGGAAGTGACTCTTGTCATGCGTTCATGGTCAGGGGGCGTTCTGGGAGAAGGACTATTAAAAACAGAGCCTGGGGAATAGAAACTAGCAGATATCCCTGTCCCTGCAAAACAGCTATAAATTCTGTGTTCAGGAGATAAAGGAAAGCTTCTTTTTTGCTTTCAAACAGGCAGAGGAGAACAGTGGAAGAAAGATTCAAGTTTATCTAACTCTTAACTTGATACACATTAAAATTAAAAACAGAGCCTTGGTGCAGGATTCAGTGACAAAAGATGTTTGTCACTGTACCCTGTTACTACATCTTTGCTTTGTCTTTCATATTGGCCTCTTGATAGTATGTTCAGTTATTTGACTAATAAGTGAATATTTTTCAGTTATTATGGCATGATCCCCTCCACAGTGTAGAGAGAACTTGCCCTAAACTCCTAAGCCTTTTCACATAACCATCATATTACTTGTTTCTCAAGATCCTATCGTATGTTTATTTCAGATTAAATTAACTTTAAATTCTATTTGTCAGGGGAACATTTTTTTTTCTACAACTGACAATAACTCTAGAAAGTTGTCCGAAGTGCATTCTTGGTAGGAGTTTCACCTCATTTCTATTACAATGGGGTTGAAGTGGGGTTATACCTGTGATTGTCCAGGAAATATACAAGAAGCAAGTTTTGTTTGGTGATATCGTTTATTAGACCAAATGTATTGTTTCTTTCCCAGATGTGAAGAAGGCACTTTGCACCCAAAAGCTTGTCTAACATCTCTCCCAACTATATAGTTAGTCCAGTAAAAAATATTCACAAAAAAAATCTTGCTTCTCATATATAAAGTGGAGCATTCTGCATGAATGGGTGTTGCCACTACACATAACCTCTCTGAACATCACAAGTTGGAACAACGCGTCTTCACAGATACTCATATCATAACTATGAGACCAGCCCATAATCTAAACCATGACACCATTTTGTACACTGTGGCCTTAGTATATAACTGTCCGCCTCATCTGCATGATAACCCACAGTAAGTTGGCATGGCAGAAACTGGTCTAGAGGCACACTTTAAACAAGCCAGTGTGTTACACACTGATCTATGCATGTTTTTACACCTAGATAACATATTGCACATCGAGCCATATGACCTACATCTGGGATGTGCAATTATTTTGGCAGGAGGGCTACTTGAGTTTTGGTGAGCTGTCCAAGGCTGCAAGGGTAGCCCCATCCCCTGATCGCTGTCTTGGGGCTGGAAGTCCTGGTCCTAACCCTTGACCTTTGCCACCAGAAGGAACCAGAAAAATAAACAAAGCATACACTAAAACTCATAACATATTTTAATTTTAGTGCAAAAACTATTTTTGTCATGACCTGTGTTTGTGTAGTGTATATAGAGCTGATTGCATAATAGCTCAAAAATAAAATCTCATTCTTGTATATTTTGTGTGGGAGAGTATGTGCGCTTTGTGAGAGGGTGGGGTTGTGTGTGGGGGGAGCGTAGGGTATGTTGTGGGGGGCATGTATATGTGGGGGGTTGTTGGGTTGCAGAGTGTGAATGTGTGGAGTTGGTAAGGTGTAAGGGAGGGTGGGGAGTGTGGGCCCCACCCAAAACTCGCTCCCTCCTATGGTGCAGCACAGCTTTCACCACCAGTGGCAGCAGCAGCAGGCAGAAACCCCTCAGGGTGCTCATGGCCCGTGCAGGTGCTGCCACCTAGCAGTGCACAGTTCCAGCCAGAGATGCATATGATGGCAAGGAGCACAGCCAGGCTGGCCCACCTCTATTGCGCAGGGCTCCCCATGGCACACGTGCAGCTCCCAGCACTCATGCACCGCCAAGGGGAAGCCCCACACGATGGAGCTGGCTGCCTTCCAGACTCCCTGCCACCACAGAAGCAGGGAATGAGACTCCCTGCCACTTCTGACAGAGTCCCAGGACCTGCGTGTGGTGGCAGGGAGCATGGGCAGTAGCCAGCTCCATCACACAGGGCTTGCCCTGGTGGCACATAAGTACCAGAAGCTGCATGTGTGTTGCAGGAAGCCCCACACATTAGAGGCAGGTCAGCCTGGCTGCACTCTTTGCCACCTTGCGCAGTTCTGGCTAGAGCTGTGAGCTGCTGGGTGGCAGCGCCTGCACAGGCCATGAGGACCATGAGGGTGCACCGCCTGGTGCTCCTGCCAACAACGGAGGCTGTGCGCCATGAGGGGAGTATATGGGGGGGTCCCAACACCCTCCCACCCTCCCTCACACCCTGCCCACCCGAGCTCCAAGCTCCTGCCACCCCCCTGGGTACAGGCTCCACACTTCTGCCAGCCCCAGCCCATGGTGGCTGCGGCAGTGGTGGCAGCAGCCCTGCCCGGAAGCTGCGTGCTGCCTGGGCTGGGCCCTTCCTCACACAAGTGTGGGAGCAAGGTGCGTGGGCTGTGCAGGGTACAATTAATTGGTAGGCTGGATGAAATTGCCTGGCAGGCTGGATTCAGCCCACAGGCCATATTTTACCCACCCATGACCTGCATAGACATAGCAAAACACATCCTCCTTCTCTCTGCAAGTGCTTGCACTGAGACAGCAAAATTATTGCGGGACTCATGGTTTATGCAAGCAGTCACATTGAGACAGCATATTACACACTAGGAACTGTCTACACAAAGACTCACACCAGGGGAAAGTTTCACACACACACACACACACCCCCCCCCCATGTGGTCTTCACAAAGACTTGCACCAACTAGATGTGTCACATACCAGACAATGTAGTCCTCCTTGGAAGGGGCATAACTAGGACAGGGCAACCAGGGCAGCTGCCACAGACGCTGACTTGGAGGGAGGGGTATAAGGGTGGTGTGGAAAAAAAACAGCTGCCAGTGACCACCTTTTCAAGAGGGGAAGCTGGGGCACCTACCACGCGCCCCCCTGCCACAGCTGCTGGAGCTGAGCCAAGCCAAACCAAGCCAAGCAGGGACAGATACAGGCTGCCTGCTAGCATGCTCGGGGCTCCATGCCATGCTGCCTTTCCCAGGGAGCCCCGTGCAGGCTGCATACCCCCTGCCTACCCAGGAGCAGCTGGGAGCAGAACTCCATGGTGCCACCACACCCACTACTGCCAGGACCAGAACTGGAGGTTCCCACTGCAGGACTATCCCATTCAGTTAGAGGCAGGTGGTCACCCGAGATTCCGCCATTGTGTGCGTAGCATCTGCTCTGGGCAGCCAGTTGGATTACTACAATTCTGCTCCTGGGCACTCACACCAGGACAACATATCATACATTTGACCCCAGAGCCTGCAGAGAAATTCACACTGAGCAGACCTGACATGCAACAAACACAGCGGCACCATGCAGCGTGCACTAGACACCCATATTTGTACAGACACTTAGGCCCCTCCACAGAGGCAGGTAAAGGCACAATTAAATCTAATGCACAATCCACACAATCACACCTCCCACCATGCCACATTTACATAGCAGGAGGTGCAACTGTGGGACTATGCAGTAGACTTCATTGCCCCTCCTGGGCTCTCCATTGCCTCTCCTACACACCCCCGCAGCTGGGAAGATTGTGGCTGCCATGATCTCCCAGCCTCAGAGGTGCACAAAGTCCCTGGGGCTGCAAGTTCACAGCAGTTATTCATTTCACCCCCAAGGCTGGAAGATCATGTCAGCCACTATGTTCTACCCCCAGGGTTGGGAGATCACAGCTGCACCCTGCAGCCGCCAGGTCCCAGCTGGGTCCCAGCACCAAGAGGCGCACTGCTGGGACCCAACATCTGCAGCTGCAGGACTCTGGGCAACTGTAGGGTGATGCTAGGACCCAGAATCAGCAGCTGCAGGGGCCGAGAGACCCTTTAGGTGCAGAACTCCCAACTGCAGCTGGGCGTAGCACAAGTCACAGACTCTTGAAGCAGGATGACATCACCCATGAGA